TGTGTCTGGGGGATGGTCTTATTTGGGTTGAGTCATGCTGGGGTTCTGAAGCTGTCTGCTGTCTGGATTTCAGGATCTCTTGACATATCTGGAAAGTTCTCTTTCATAATTTTATACAGAAGAGCCTCCGTGTTTTGCGAAGCAACTTCATCGCCTTCAAGGATTCCTATGAGGCGAATATTAGTTTTCTTTGAATTATTCCAGAGCTCTCTGAGAGAATGATCTGTTTGTCCTTTCCATTTCTGATTCTCATTAAATGTTTGGACATATTCAGAAGCTTTGTCTTCACCATCTGAGATCCTTTCTTCTGCCTCTTGCACTTTGTTACCAAGAGATTCTACTGTATTTTTCAGATCTTTGAGGACTGCAATTTCTTGCCTTAATGTTTCAAAATCTTTGGTGGTTTTGTCTTTGAATTCATTAAATTCTTGAGTGAACTTTTGGAATGCTCTTTGAATTTCTATTTCTATCTTTGCCTCTATTCTATTAATCTTATTTGCAATCCAAATTCTGAATTCAATTTCTGACATCTCAGCTAATTGTTTATATTGGGGATCTTCAGTTTTGTCTGCCACTTCCTTTCTTGGGGGTGTTGACCTACTCTGGTTATTCATATTACCAGCCACATCTTTTCTTGGGGGAGGTGACCTACTCTGGTTATTCATATTACCAGAACTTTTTCACTGATTCAGCCCAATGATTATTTTACCCCATTTGGCTTTTCCCCTTGAGGTTTGTCAAGGACCCCTATGGTGTTACGGCCTGAGAGATTGGGGACCTGCTTGGTGTGATGGGGCTAAGTGGCTCTGTCTTATTTTCTGCTGGTCTCTGTCCTACCCTAGTGATTCAGCTTCTCTTGGTTGACGTCTCAGCTGTGGAGAAATACCAGCAATTAAATCACCCCACCCCCCATAAACAACAATTGGGCTAGGAAAATCAAACCTTCCCTCAACATACACCCAAAGTGTCCTTTTGAATAGTCCCTGGATGGTCTGTCTGGTTTAAGAGGTCCAAATCAGTTGTCCCAGTCAGAACTAGTTTCAGGTGGAAAAGTTCAAATGTTTCCAGCAGCTAGATAAGTGGGGTCCACTCACAGCTCAGATATAACTTGCTCCAGTGCTCCATGAAGGCAAAGGGACCCACCCAGCAGATTGGTTAGTCTGGGAAGGTTAACCTCCTTCCCCACCTTGGACCCAGTCACTTATAATCCCCCAGGTCTGTGACCCTATTCACTGCAGTAGGCAACTGCTCCCAGCGTTTATGACTGCCAGAATCAGCCAGAAATCTGAGTTAGACAGGGGGGCCTTGCATGTTTAAATTAGGCTTCTGTCCAGCTAGATTCCTCTGCAAGTCAGAGGCTGCAGTCAGCTCTGGGCAGCAGACAAATAGCAGTTTACACTCAGGTATCAATTCCAGCCTCTGCCCGCCCACTGCCTTTGTCTCAGCTGTATCACCCTGAGGGCTGGTGCTAATAGTCTCTTTACTTATGAAAGTTATCAGTGTTCAGCCTGTGGCTGCTGTCCAGAACCTCTGGTTGCCCAGAGAGACAGGGCTGGAATGGTGTCAGTTCACAGCTCAGGATGCCACTGTTGCTGTATTGACTTCCTCCAAGCCAACTCTCTTCTCCTCATGCCTGTGCCACAGTCAACACAGAGCAGGACCAGCCCTTTCCCCCTTCACTTCTCTCAAGGAGATGCCCAAGAATCTGGACTCCATAGGTAACAAACTTCCAGGCCTCAGAGTGGGTGAGACTCCTCAGAATTCAGGTGGGGAATATATACAGTTTTATACAGTTTTACAGTTTTATGCCTGGCAGGAGGGTTCCATGGCATGCCAGCAGGGGTAGGAGGTCCAGTTTTTAGGGGGTCTCTCCCGTGGGATAGAGTGGGAAGATGTTTGAACTCTGCTCACTTGTTTGCATGGAGTAAACTGCGAGCCCTTGTTGTGGGGGAGGGGACTCCTGTCCTCTTGGTGGTGGATTTTGTACCTTTTGGTTGTTTTCTTGGGGTCGCAGCTCACCTCAGGAAGGTTGAAGTGAACTCTTCAATCTTCTCTCTCTGCTCTGCTCCAATCCATCAGCTCCCTTGCTAAACTTCTGTCCTTTAAGTCTCCTTCTGGATGGGAGCTTCTGTAAAAAGCTGGCTGCAGTCCGTCATCTTGGCTCCACCCCTCTTGGTAGAAATTCTTAATAAACAATCTCTCTGATATAAAAAATGGTTAACAACATCATTTTTCCCCCTGATTTTGACTGATGGAACTTTTTTGGTCATGGAGAATATTGGTTGTCTTCCATTGTGCACTTTTATGCTCCATCTCAGGGTTGTTTTGGTATATTCATTTTTCATCACCATTGGTAACATAGTCCAAAATATCATCTTGTCTTTCCAAAAGGTCATTGCAATTTCAACCTTTCTTTGCTTTTGTTCGTTGGAAGCTCCTTTGGGACCATTTTTGTACATACTTTTCTCACACCAAAATTTTCAGTTAAGATTTCCCTGTTTATCTATTGCTGTTTACTTGATCTACTATACTTTTCACAGGCAGCCAATGATTTTCACACACAATTCAATTATACAAAGTTTTCATCAGTTCTCCTTATTACTGGCCTCCCAAACCACTCTTCTTCAGTGACACTTTCTCCCCCCCCCCATGAAAACATTTAATACATTTTTACACTGACTTTTTCTTTTCTTTCTTTCTTTTTTTTTGAGACAGAGTCTTACTATGTCAACCTTGGTAGAGGGCCATGGCATCACAGCTCATAGCAACCTCAAACTCTTGGTCTTAAGCAATTCTCTTGCCTCAGCCTCCCAAGAAGCTGGGACTACAGGCACCCATCACAATGCGTGGCTTTTTTTTTTTTTTGTAGTTATTATTGTTGTTTAGCTGGCCCAGGTCTGCATAATTCCTGCCTTGGTGTATGTGGCTGGTGCCCTAACCACTGAGTTATGGGCACCGAGTCCACTGCCATTTTCTTCATCACATTGTTTTCATAAACTTACTAAAATGTCCCTCATTTCACTTCCACCCTTACCAAGATTAACAAGAAATTTAAGTTTGTTCATTGCTCTAATTCGAGTTCCAATACTCTGGTGATGGTACACAAAATCATGTGGCAACAATAACGAATGCCTCTCAGTAAGACACTGCCACAATTGACATGACTACAGTTGTGAGACACTGATATACTAAGGTTATGAAACTTTACTGAGTTATTTGTACAGTTTTGCCAACGTTAAGTGCACAGTGGCAAGTTTGTGAACTTAATTGTCAGAGCTTGTACACCTGGATTGTCTGTTCTGTTACACTGGTGTATGTCCCTATTTCTATTGAGTTGATAATGAAATTAAATGGAAAGCAAATGATTAATTGAATTGTGCAACAAAGGGGACACAAACTGTCAGCATCTATGGGATTTGGCAAGAGCAGTACTAAGGGAAAATTCATAGCTTTAAATACCTATAACTTAAAGACAGAAAGATCACAAATTAAAAACCTAATGATGTACCTTAAGGAATTAGAAAATGAAAAGCAAACCCAAATAGAACAAAAGAAAACAAATAACAAAGTCAAAGCAGAACAAAATGAAATGGAAAACAAAAAATAATACAAAAGGTCAGTAAATGAAAAGTTGGTTCTTTTGAAAGATCAACAAAATCAATAGACCTCTTATGAGAATACCCAGAAATAGAGGAGAAAGATCCAAATAAGCTCAATGAGAAAAGAAAAAGGAAATATTACAACTGATACCACAGACATACAAAATATCATTTGTGAATACTATGAAAATCTCTATTCATATAAATTAGAAAAGGTAGAGGAAATGGACAAATTTCTAAAAACACACAACCTCCTAAGACTTAGTCAGGAAGAAATAGAACTCCTGAAAAGATCATAAATGAGCAGAAAGATTGAAAGTAATAAAAAAAATCTTCTAACAAATAAAAGGCCTGGACCAGATGTATTCACAGCGAAATTCCACCAGACCTACAAGAAAGAGCTGGTACCTATACTGTAGAAATTATTCCATTATATCAGCCCAAGAGTTTGAGGTTGCTGTGAGCTGTGACAGTACAGCACTGTACCAAGGGTGATATAGTGAGACTGTCTCAAAAAAAAAAAAAAAAGATGGAATTCTCCTTACCTTGTTCTACAAAGTCAGTACCACCTTGATAACAAAAATGTTACTGACCTTGAAACAACAGGTTATAAGGAAAGGAAACAACAAAAAAGAAAAGCTCTAGACCAATATTTCTTATGAATTGCAAAAATCTTGAATAAAATACTAGTGAACTGAATTTGATAGCATATCAAAAAATAATACACCTGGACCCAATGAATTTCATCCCAGGAGTGCAAGGCTGATTCACTACATGTAGATCAATAAGTATATATCACCACATAAACAGAGACAACAACACGGACCATAGAATCATCTCATTAGATGAAGAGAAAGCATCTATTGATGTTTTTATGTTAAGCATCCTCAACAAACTAGGCATAGAAGGAACTTATCTCAAAATTATAAAAGCCACATATAACAGACCCACAGCTAATGTCATATTTGATTAGCTATTTGCTCAAGAATAATGGCAGGAAGGATTGGGCAATAGCCACTTTATAGATGAGAATATGTCTTAACTCCACATTCCCATTAAAGTGCTTATGTCTTATCCTTGAGGATAGGTCTGTATTTAGTGTCCTTCCTTTGGACCGAACAAATTACTAGGACAGCTCATATAAATGAGGTTTTGTAGGGTTTCTAGTTATGGTGCTTGGGTACCACATCAAACAGAAGTGATACAATAAGTATTCTAAAATATCTGCCAAATGAATGCATAAGCAAATATGTCAATTTTTAATGGACATATCCAATTGAATGTGCCACAGACATATCATAATCCCTATAACCAATGCTGAGATGTTATTCATCATGTGGATGGGGAGAACAAGAAATATAATTTAACACATTTCTAAAAAAGTTAGCAAAATTAATTCACCTGGAAATGTTATTTTGATGAACATTTTAAAATCCTCTAACTTATCTTTAGTCTTGGCTTTGGCCTTCAGGATGTAAATATTGCCGAACTTGCTCTTGAGATGCTGAGGGCTTCCCAAGCACATGAACTTCCCTTGCACCATGATAGCTAGATTGGTACAGAGGGCATCACATTCCTCCATACTTGCAAAAAAAAAAAAAAAAGCATATTATTGTAAGGCAAAAAATGTCTCCTTTGGAGAACACTATGTAGTTTAATCAGAGTCAGGATTTTGTGATCCTGTTTTCAATCACAAGTTGCATTTGCCAATCATGAAACTTGTAGTTGAGAAGTGGAAATTTTTCAGATGTTTAATAATAGAATGGCCAATCCTCACACAAAATGTCTCCTGAAGTTTTATCTTCTGCTCATTATTAATTTCTTTTTAATTTTTTCCTTTTTAAATAAGGATTCCTGTCCATTTCATTTATCAGGATTAGTATGAATCCTAACACCTAAAGAGGAGCTCACATACTCAAGCAAATTCACTATCCAATATTTCTGCTCCCCAAATAATTAGCTCTTATAGCCACTAAAATTGCTTCCAACCCTTAACCAAGCCTCCAAATAAGCCACACCTGTGGGAAGTTATAATAATGGTCTTTCCACTTTCACGTGTCTGTGTCACTTTGTCCCAGAGCAGGCGTCGGGCTACTGGGTCCATTCCAGTTGATGGCTCATCCAGGAAGATGACTGAGGGCTTTCCCATTATGGCAATAACAGTACTGAGCTTACGTTTGTTTCCTCCACTATATGGTCAAAGAAGGAGAGAGTAAGTAGGCAAAGAAGAGGCTATACAGATCAGTTATTTAATGATAGGAAGGAGTGAGCACAAATATCTCAAATGCTGAGAGTCTCAGAAAATACTAAACATGGAAATCCTTAATGCTGGTTATATACGACTTCATAAAGTAGCTGTCCAAAGTATAGGGTATATACCAATTCATTTTAAATAGAGATGTAGAGTAGTGTCATTTATGTTACTGATTTTTACATTATCAATAGCATTTATTTACATGATTTTAGGTTGTCATGGTTTCCTAGACACAGATCCCATCATGATTCCAAGAGCCTACATCTCTCCTTATTTGTGAGATAAAAACTCATGGGGACAATAAGAAGAAAATGTTTATTTTGAGGTTCAGAGGCCACAGTTTAAATATAACTGATATTTTGAGGTTCACCTCTATAAGGAAAATATTTAAAATTATTAATACATTTATGTCTTATTAATGACAAATAAAACCTAGCAGAACAGTAAATGGTTTTAATATTGTGTAATTGCAAGCATAACAGCTTACAAGAGGATGTGGACATTTATTTGAAAAACCAGGAACACGGGAAGCACTTCAACATTAGCAGCATTTACAAAAAGAACAGAAGCATAATGACTCACCTGTAGGTGCTAATAAGTTTGTCAGCATAAGGCTCCAGTTCCAGTGACTTCAAACATTTTTTCACATATGGCTTAATCTGGTCCTCAGAGAGTCCCCATAATCTGGCATACATGATCATTATTTCCCAAGCCGTCATGTATTCCAACAAGGCATCAAATTGAGGGCAATAGCCAATTCTTGACCTGACCTAATTACAAGAATTGCCTTAGGTAAAAACACAAGCCTTTTATTTTGCTGTATATCCATGGATTAGAAGGAAGACCAAAAGCTTTTAAAAGTTCTACAATATTATTTTGTTTTCCTAAAAGCTACAAAATTACAGCTGTTGAATCTATTGTAGGACATTGGGATAATAGAGTTCCTAATTCAGTTTTAATGATCTTGGGGATAAAGAAGTTAAAATAATAAAATAATAAAATTTTTTCTTTATCCCCAAGATCATTTGAAAACACTACACTGTACCCCACGTTTGCATTAATGTATACAGTTATCATTTAATAAAAAAAAGAAAAAAGAAATTTACCAGATATTTCTCATTTTTAAAAAAATAATAATAAAAAAAATAAAATTTTAGATCTTGTTCCATTTGGAGGAGTATTAGAATATGAGAAATTTCCCTCATTCATCAGGAATTCCTAAGGACAAGCTCACCACAGATGGTTTTGCACGTGTACATTTAGTTCTATAGTACAATTGAACCAGAAGCAAAGCCTTTTCCAAACCCCATTCCTGACACCCAACTTGAGACTTCAAAGAGTATTACTGTAGCAATTCGTTAAACCATTCTGTTGTTTTGCATTCAGTCATACATAGCTTCCAAGCTAGAGAAAAAGGTATCAATTTACATTAAATTGAATTATTAAATCATTTACAGTGATTGACTATTCATGATCTTAAACTCTTGGCATAGGCAAGCCTCTTCTCCTCTGAAGTGACTTTTGGGGGGATTTAAAGAACTAGTTCCCTTTCCGCATTCCTCTGCATTTTCTATTTTTTCTCATTTGGGATCCATAATATAAAGATAGAACATTAAAAACAACTGCATTTATAAAGAAAATTAGAAACTGACCGCAAATACTCAAGGAATGGATTATGTTTAGAAAAGCTCCAAGAACTTATTTTGACATGTCAAGTTGATCCTCTAATCACATAAAAAGGGATTCTCAGTGAGATAATCAGAAGATTTCTCATTAGAAACTTTGGAGGCTGTGGGTAGTTGACTGATATATTCAAAGTACTAAAAGAAGAAAACTGTCAAATAAGAATCCTATATCCAGCAAAACTATTTCAAGAATGAGGAAGAAATTACTAACAAGATTCTCAGATAAATAAAAGTTAATAGTTTGTTGACACTAGACACTTAGAACTGCTATTTGAAAAAAAAAAAATGCTCAAGGGAATCCCGGAAGATGATAAAAATAGACATCAGACAGTAATTTGATGCCATATAAAGAAGTAAAGATCTGAACAAAGGTTGATTACAAGGCAACTATAAAGGCTGATATTGTGACAAGAGTTTGCAATACCACTTTTTATTTTTTACATGGTTTAAGAGACTGACAAATTTTCGGAAATTATTAGATTCAGCCTATGGTTTATAACTCCATATTTTATTTTCTACATAATTTAAGAAACTACTGCATTTATTTTTTTGGTGTTTTATTTTTATTTTTTTATAAAGTCATATACACATAGATCATGAATACATTTATGCATATGTGGGGTACAATGTGTTGATTTTTTTTAATACAATCTGACTGCTTACATCAAACCAACAACATAGCTTTTGACTCATTTACTTGATAATTGTGTTAAGACATTTATGTTTTACACTTGACAGATTTGACTTGTACCCTTGCAATATGCTCCATAGGTGTGGTCCTGCCATTTACCCTCCCTCTATCAAACCTCCCCTCTCTGCTCCCTTCCTACTCCATTTCTCTCCTTCATCCTGGGCTATAGTTGTGCTCTATCTTTCATAAGAAAGTGTGAGTAAATATAGGTTGGTTTCATAGACGTACTGAATACATTGGATAATTTTTCCTCCAGTCTTGAGATACTTTACTCAGGAGAATATGTTCACGGTCTCTCCATGTAAACATAAAAGAGGTAAAGTATCCACATTTTTAAAGACTGCATAGTATTGCATGGAGTACATGTACAACAATTTATTAATCCTTTCATGGGTCGATGGTCACTTGGGCTTCTTCCATGACTTGACTATTACAAATTGAGTTGCAATGAATAATATGGTGAAAATATCTTTTTTGCAAAGCAATTTTTGGTCTTTGGATATACACCTAGTAGAGGAATTGCAGGTCAACTTTTAGATCCCTGAGTGTTCTGCAAACTTCTTTCTAAAAGGAATGTATTAGATTGCATTTACACCAGCAGTGGAGAAGTGTTCCTTTTTCTCTACATCCATGCCAACATCTGTAGTTTTGGAATTTTGTTATGTGGGCTACTCTTACTGGAGTTAGATGGTATCTCAAAGTGGTTTTGATTTGCATTTCTCTGATGATTAAAAATGATGAGCATTTTTTTCATGGGTCTGTAGACCATGTGCCTGTCTTCTTTGGAGAAGCTTCTGTTCAGGTCTCTTGCCCATAGTGAAATGGGATCACTTGTTCTTTTCTTATTAATAAGTTTGACAGATTAAAGGAAGTAAACTTCACTTATCCTTACCATTGCTGGCTTTATCTCCCCCATGTCCTGCTGAAAAAATGTCAAACTCAAATCATGGTAGCAGCCAGAAGAATTTCTCTGAGGAGGAAATAGATGATGAAGAAAGTGTGATTTTGACATTGGTTCCAGTTAAAGACGATTCAAGTAATGAACAAATGGCACCAACTGTTTCTTCAACTTCTGATATCAAACTGAACAATCCCCAGAAACACAATGAAGATACGAGAACAGGGACTGGCCTCAGTGAGCCAGGCCTACAGCTCTGAGTAGTTCAGGAAAATTCATCTACCTCCAACAAATAAACAATCAAAAGCCATCTGAAAAGTTAGATGTAAAAAACTTGATCTTTTCTTGCTAACCATTTTGTCTCCCATTAATAATGTGTGTCAAGACAGTTTGAGGAACTGGTGCCAGCAACTCAAGTTGAGTACTGATGAAAACAGAAGTTTTTCTGAGGCTTTGGGAGCATGCTTTTCCTGAACAGAAATGTGAAATTCCTGAAACACCAAAGGAGGCCAGATTACATTCATGTTCAAGGAACTCAAGGCAGAGACCAAGAGAGCAAGACCTCAGGAAAAGTCCAAGATGAGTGTGAAAACAGAAGAGCTCAATAGAGTAGAAGTGATAACATCAGCTGAGGAATCTGCATCAGCATCATGGGTAAGGATTGCTGCAAAAGCTGGTCAGCCTAGGACTGTGAATTCACAGTCCATTCCTGCTTCTGCTGAGGCCTTTTTGACCACAGCTTCTGGCCTTAGGTGGTATGTAATCTATGATGAGCCTCTTCCTGCAGACACAGAGGGTTGGGTCCACCTACAGTTTCATGCAGGTCAGGCCTAGGTGCCTGCCACTCCCAGGAGGATGATTTTCCTCTTCCTGTTACCAGCCTGCATTTTCTCATCTCCAGGCCTAGAAGATAATATGTAACGTCTTGACTGTGCTAAGAAATAAGAAGATAATGAAAAGATTAATGATAGCAAAGAGGAAGAAGCAATCTACTTCAAACAAAAAATAGGAGACCAGAATATGCCACCTCAAAGTATTAGAGAGTGATGGATATACTTTTAGAATGTGTAAGCTGATTTGATGAAATGGAAGAAGAGATCATTGGAAGGAACCTTTGTGATCTACAAAACAGAATCAAGTAATTAGGACTCCACTGTGAAGATGGTTGACTGGGTGCCAGCCCTGTCTAAGGAGACCCTTTGTGGGGCTGGGAAAGCCACTAAAATAAAGTCATTGCCATCGGAGGGGGGGGAGTTTGAGTTCTCTGTGGATTCTGGTTATCAGACCTTTGTCAGAAATGTAACCTGCAAATATCCTCTCCCATTCTGAGGGAAGTCTACTTGCTTTACTTACTGTGTTCTTGGCTGTGCAGAAGCTTTTTAGTTTGATTGGATCCCAGTAATGTATTTTGGTATTGCTTTGATTGCCCTGGGGGTCCTTCTCATAAGGTTTTTTCTCAGGCCAATTCCTTCAAGTGTTTCCCCTGTACTCTTTCCAAGAATCTTTATGGTTTCATGTCTTAGGTTTAAGTCTTTTATCCAGTGAGAGACAAATTTTGTTGGAGGTGAAAGGTGTGGGTCCAGTTTCAGTCTTCTACAAGTCACCAGCCAATTCACTCAGCACCATTTGTTGAATAGTCTTTCTCCCAATTTAAATTTTTGATAGGCTTATGGAAGATCAAATGATGTTAAGTGTCTGGATTCATCTCTTGGTTTTCAATTCTGTTCCATACATCTACCTCTCTATTTTTGTGCCAATACCATGCTTGATCACTATAGATTATAGTCTATATATATCACTATATAGTATAGTCTGAAGTCTGGTACCATAATTCCACCTGATTTGTTTTTATTTCTGAGTAATGTCTTGGCTATTTGAGGTTTCTTCTATTTCCATGTAAAATGAAGTACTAGTTTTGCAGATCTTTAAAGTATGACAGGGGTGCTTTAATGGGGATTGCATTAAATTTGTAGATTGCTTTGGGTAGTGTGGACATTTTAACAATGTAGATTCTTCCCAGCCATGAGTATGGTATGTTTTTTCATTTGTTGACATCTTTGGCTATTTCTTTTCCCAGAGTTTCATAGTTCTTTTTATAAAGATCTTTCATGTCCTTTGTTAGGTATACTCCCAGATGCTTCATTTTCTTTGACACTACTGTAAAAAACTATTACATTTAAAATAATTATTTATTTAGGTTTTGGGCACACAGTGTATGACATCAGCAATGAAAAGAGATGATATAGGTGTAAAGGAAAAGTTTATTTTTTAAGTTGCTGAAGTTAAGGTGGTATAGATCCAAATTAGAGTGTTATAACTTTAATCTTCCTGCTAGCCACAAAGAAAATAACTATGGAATATACCCAAATGGAAATGAGAAAGGAATTGGAACATTTTATTATAAAAAATCAACTAAATACAAAGGAAGCAATGCAGGAAATAAGAGATAAAAAAACCTATCAGGCATATTAAAAAATAGCAAAATTACAGATGTTCCTCCTTACAAGTAATTACTTAAAATGTAAATGGCTTAAACTCTCTAGTAAAAAGACAGAGATTGGTAGATAGATGTAAAAATAATGATCCAGCAATATGCCTCATTTCAGGTCCAAATACACAAATAGATTGAAAGTGAAAGATATTTCATGCATTTAGTAATTAAAAGGGAGCATGAATGGCTACACTAATATCTGATAAAATGGTTTAAAATGAAGAAATATTATAAGATTCAAAAGATATCACATGTTAATAAAAGGTTCAACACAGGAAGAGGCGGTAACAATTATAAACATTCAGACAGCTAATAGCAGACCATCACAATATATGAAGCAATAATTGATAGAATTGAAGAGAGAAACAATTCTATAGCAATAACTAGAGACTTTACTTCTCCATTCTCAATAATGGATGGAACAATTCTATATAAGATCAATAAGGAAACAGAGGACATAAACTGCACAATAGACTACATAAAACACATATGTAGAACACTCTACTCAACAACAGAATTATACATTCTTTTCAGGTACACATAAGCCATTTTCCAGGAAAGACTATATTTGAGACTGCAAACAAACTTTAAATAGATTTTAAAAAATATATGTACAATCATCTCCAACCATGAGTGGACGAATTTTGAAAACATCATCAGAAAAAAGCTTAGAAAAGTTACAAATTTGCATAAATTAGTCAAACGAATTTAACCAATGGATCAAAAAAAGAAATCATATGGAATTTAGAAAACACTTAGAGATGAGGGAAAATAAAATATAATATACTAAAACTTATGGAACCCAGTGAGTGCAGTGCTTAGTGGGAAATATATAGTTATAGTCTGTCCTGCTGAAGAGATGGTCAGAATTGCCCCAAAATTATTGGTCAGAATTCTACAAAGGACTGCCCCAAGTCAATTTGAGGTGGAGATGACTGGGATTCTAAGGAAAGATGGACTAAAGAACCGTCTAAACTAGCATTCATTAGAAGAATTTATATATACAGGTTGTGATGTCCTCATGATACAGAGCAAGAAAAAATGATGTTTTATATAGGTATGGCTATAAGGTGGGGGTAGGCTTATGGAGTTTGTATAGAGGTTTGACAATTTAGCTGAGAGTCAGGGATAATTTCTACTTGTTGGGACATGTTTGACCTTTCAGTTTGGGGGAACAACTTAAATATTATCAGTGTTTTGGGAAGTTCCTTAGCACCTTCTGGGTGCCATCTTAGGTCCAAGCCTGCTCTTGTGTGGGTCACGGAGGAGTAAGACACCTTGTGCTTTCTCAGTCAGGACAAAAAAAGAAAACAGGGGTAACTAGGAGACCCTACAAGATATAAATGCTTATACTGAAAAAAAAACAAGAAAAAAGAACATGGAAGTTAGCTGTAGACTTGTGAATATAAATCAAGGTTCCATTGATTCTGGACTAGTAAAAATTGATAAAGTCACACAACCTTTGCCACTTCCACATTTAAATAAGTAGTGACACTCCTATATTTAAAATTGGATCTGACAATATCCATATTTGTGCTCAGCCTGTCTCTTAGTGGGAAAAGCTATCAAATATCAAGCACAAAGTTGATTGATAAGTGTATATTTGAACTAGTTTGGTCACTGAGCCGAGACTAACCAATGTGACCATGACATTGAGTTTGGCAATGATTTCTGTGAATAAATATGGCATCAAAATTACAGGCAGCAAAAAATTAGATAAATTGGATCATAAAATTAACATTTTTATAAACCAAAGGACACTGGAAAAGGCAACTCACAGAATAGGAGAAAATATGTATTTACAAATCATATATACTATGTAATAAGATATTTAGATGCAGAATATATAAAAAAAATCTTTCAACTTAATAACAAAAAACCCAATTTAAAATTGTGCAAATGATTTGAACAAGCATTTCTCCAAAAGATGATAACACAAATGGCCAATAAACACATGAAAAATGGTCAACATTACAAATAGGGGAACGCAAATCACAACCATGATGGGGTCCAGTGCAGTGACTCATGTCTGTAATGCCAGTGCTTTAGAAGGTCAAATTAGAAGGGTCATTTGAGGTCAGGACTTCAAGACCAGCCTGAGAAACATAGTGATGAGAGTCTTTCTTTGCAAAGCACAGAAAAATTAGCTAGGTATGGTGGTACACACATGTAGTCCCAGCTACTCAGGAGGCTAAGGCAGGAGAATTGCTTGAGCCCAGATGTGAAAGGTTGCAGTGAGATGCAATGAGGTCACTGCACTTTAGACCAGGCAACAGAACAAGACCCTATCTCAAAAACAAATAAGGAATGAAACCTCAATGCGCTACTACCTCACATTAGGATGGCCATTATTTACAAAAGACAAAACAAAACAAAAAAAAATTAAAGAGTGTTAGTGCTGATGTAGAGAAATTGAAACTTTTGTGATGATAGGAATATAAAATGATGTAGCTGCTATGGTATACACTATGGAATTTCCATTTAAAATAATCATAGATCTTCTTTTAGATATATTTACCCAAGTAATTGAAAGCAGAGTCTTACACAGGTAATTGTATGCAAATGTTCACAGCAGTATTATATGTAATAGCCAAAAGGGGAGCAAACCACCCAAATATTTATCAATGAATAAATGGATAAACAAAATGTTGTATACAATGCAATTCTAGTACCTTGGTAAGTCTTGATGTAATTATGCCAGAGAAAGTATCTTAGATATAAAAGCACAAATCATATATAATTCTACTTACGTGAGATATCTAGTATAATCAAATTCACAGAGGCAGAAAGTAGAACAGTAAGTTATAGGGGGTAAAAGGAGAGATGGGGAGTTACTGTTTAATGAGCATAGATTTTCAATTTGAGTTAATGCAAAAGTTCTGGAGAGAGTGGTGATGGAAGAATGTGAATGTACTTAATGCCATTGAATTGTATACTCAGAAAGGTTAAAATGGTACTTTCATGCAGTGTATTTTTATCATAATAAAAAGATAATGGTTAAAGATAGTTTCAAAATGTCCAAGTAAATGAAAATATCACAGTCTGTCACATAAAAACTTTCAGAATTCCAAACTTGGAGAGATTCTCTAAGACTTGAAAGAGTTCCCTTTAGATTTTACTGAACTCAGGATTGGTCATTTCTTATATTTTGGTCTCTTTTTAAATTTGGCATTTTTATATGGATTTTCTTACTTTTTTAAATTAAATCATAACTGTGTACATTACTGCATTTATGGGGTACAATGTGCTGATTTCATATGCAATTTGGAGTCCTTACATAAACGGGTTAACATAGCCTTCACCTCACTAATTTAATTATTGTGTTAAGACATTTATACTCTACTCTTAATAAATTTGACATATATCCTTGCAATATGCACAACAGGTGAGGTCCCACCAATTACTCTTCCTCTACCCAATCACCCCTCCTTCCCTCCCTTCGCTCTCCTCTTCTCTCCTTCATTCTGGGCTATAGTTGTGTTTTATCATTTGTATGAAAGTGTTGGTGATTATGTATTGGTTTAATAATAGTATTGAGTACATTGGACACTTTTTGTTCCATTCTTGAGATACTTTACTGAGAAGAATATGACCAAGAATCATTTTAGAACAAAGATATATGCCCAAGAATGTTTATTGCAGCCCAGTTCATAATTGACATTTTTATATGGATTATCTCTTTGTTTCCCAATTCAGCTTTGCTCTTTGGCACCAATTTCACTTAATTCTTTCTCCATTCCTTACAGTCAAGGAACTGGATGGTTTTACACTACCCTTATGTCCCTGAAGGGGATTTGATAAGTGGTATAGATAAAGTATTTAGGGGAGACCCACTATCACTTTCTCTGTGAGGAATAGCCGGTAGGAAAAAGCCACCTCCTGCCACCATGTATTATTCCTTACTCTATTTCTTCAACTTATCCCCTCTGATATAAATGTGCTCAAGTTATTTAACATATGAAATATTTTGTCTTTTTCTATAACATAATGGTGAGTTATAATTCTTCCCTTTGCCTCACAACAAACTTTGTTCAAAGTATAGTCCATATTCTTAGCTTCACTTCTGGTTACTAGACTATTATTTTCCTACAGCACATAGGCTCTCCCAAGCCCATCTTCCTGATCAATGGTTATAGTGGCCCATATGCAGTGAAAATTAAAGAATTACACTATTCAAGTTGTTATTACTACCACCCACCTGATCCTAATGCTATTTTTCTTGCCAACCTCATCAATGAAAATGTATTTACTAAATTGGATGTATACCATTCAGGCTTTACCTTGCCTGAAATTTCTTGACATTTGACTTATTTAACTATCTCTTCTTCTTGAAATTCTCTCCACATTCAGCTTCTTTCCAAGCTTTATACCCTTTCTTCTAGGTGGCATGTGAACCAATGGCTGGATAATGCAGAGACACAAAGGTTGATGACCTTGCATTGATTTAGGACTATTCTGAAAGGACATCTTGCTTCAGAACTCTCCATGAGGTGTACCAAGGCCTCAGTTATAACTGAATTGCAGATAATCTTCTCTTTCTGCCCAGCATTGCTATCCTTACTTATATTGTTACAGCATCTTGTATGACATCAGTTAGATGTATTGTTGGAAGAACTTGCCTTTTACCTTGACAGTGCCAATGAACATACACACAAATCACTCTTGTTTTAGAGTCTTCTCTTATTGCTTCACTGTTTCTTCAAAAATCTATTTATCTCTCAAAAGTCCACTGATTTCATCAACACCAAGAACTTCCTTGATTCTCATCTATTATGCCTAGACATCTGCCTATTACCTGAACCCCGGAGTCATTATGATTCTCACTTCTCAGACTGTAGTAACATCTTACCTTTAGAATATTTTTGGTGATGCTAAAGCCATCAATGATCACATCCCCAGAAGTAGTACTGTCCTCCCCAGTTAAGATTTGGAAAGTAGTTGTTTTTCCAGCTCCATTGAATCCAAGCAATCCAAAGCATTCCCCAGTTTGGACTGCAAGGGAGATATTTTTTACAGCCAGAATGACTGGACAAGTAAAATAGATCTAAAAAAAAATTCCAGGAACATAATTAAGTAAAGGATACTTATAGGTAAAATAACGCCAATACCTCAGACCCCTATGGATCACTACCTCAGTTCCACAGGATCTCTTCTGTTCAACTGGAGGAATACACACAAAACCTAAAGAACCACAGAGAGCCCTTGACACCAATGGCATACTCTTCAGTAGGAGTGAAACTAGCATATGTTGACCATTGAATGACATTACCTTAATTAGTTCCTTAATAATCAGTGTGGAATTCAGCAACTCCTGAGTTTGCTCCAGAACTCTCTTTCTTTCATTTTGTATATCTTCATCTTCATATTTTCCAGATAATTCCTTGGACACTATATCCTGTATTTTTAAGACAAGAATCATAGAGGCATATGCCATTAGGCCATCTGTTTTAGAATGAGTGATTTCATGAAAGCTAAACTGGGAACTAACATTAAGGATGTCCTTACAGAAGGTTTGTGTTGAGTCATATCTTTAGACTTCCTAAATATCACCTGAGCTCTCATATGCAACTTGAAAAGTTTTAATAATGAATAGTTCATCAGGAAGTAAGGGTACATCAACCCATGAATGGATCAATAAATTGTGGTATACAAACACCATGGAATATTATGCAGCCTTAAAAAAGATGCACACTTTACCACTTTTATGTTTACTTGAATGGAGCTGGAACATATTATTCTTAGTAAAGTATCCCAAGAATGGAAGAAAATGTATCCAATGTACTCGGCTCTACTATGAAACCAATATATAATCACCCACACTTCCATATGAAAGCTATAACCCAACTACAGCCCAAGATGAAAAGGAAAGAGGAGGGGGAGGGATTGGGAGGGGGAGGATGAGTGGAGGGAGGGTAATTGGTGGGACCACACCTATGGTACATTTTACAAGGGTACATTTCAAATCTAAATGTAGAGTATAAATGTCTTAACACAATAATTAAGAAAGTAGGGTGAAGGCAATGTTAACCAGTTTGTTGCATTTGAAATTGCATATAAAACCAGCACATTGTACCCCATAAATGCATTATTATACACAGCTATGATTCAATTACAAAAAAGAAAAAAAAAGAAGTAAGGGTAGGGATCAGAGGAGAGGGAAAAGGTAACTATGTAGTGGAAAGGATGTAAATTAACATGCTATAGCATGTAGTTAAAGCTTTGAAAGATATAATTTAAAGCATTCAGATAAATTATTTTATCACCTACATACTTAAGAAGAAAGTCATCTCAAGAGATCAGAAAAGCTTTAAAAATAAATTTTGCCAAGATTAAAAGGGAATGCAAGCTAAGAAAAGTAGCAAGACTTAAACAGACTTTTCCTAAGAAACTCACTGGACCCTATGGTTTATATTTCCAAGATAAATGGTACATGTATGGATGTTTTCAGTCACATTAACTATAGATTAAGTAGCTTTAGAAAACAAACACCAAGATAAAAGAACAGAAATCTGGCATACTTTTCAAGACTTTTCTGTCCAATAATTGCAGAACACATAGATTTTTGTTTTCTAAAAAATACTAAAACACACTCTCACACATTTACCAGAACCAGACACCTCACAAAAGAGGTCATAACTGAGACCAGCCAAATGTCATTTGTTACATTTGCAGTATGTTGAAAATACAGAAAGACAAGTAGAAGAATTACTCATTTCTTTTAGGAAAGAAAGAGAAAAAGTTAATAATACTTCATATAGAAAATTTTGAGATTTCCAGAATTGCAGTGTGAGAGATCTGTGAACTCATGTCCCAGTGGACCTGATAAAAATTATTTTAAAATAAAATCGCTCAAAGTCTTTAGAAATGATCCTATCTTAGGCTATTTTCTGTTGATTACCTGAAATTGAATAATTTGTGAAGAAAAAAATGTGTTTCTTATAATTGTGGAGGTTGGGAAGTCCAAGAACTTGGTTGCCAAGTCCAAGGCATCTGCTAGAGGGACTTCTTCCTGGTGAGGACTCTTTATTGAGACTTGAAAGAACATCAAATGGTGAGAGGACTTAGTGTGCTAATATGCTTGATGAGGTCTCTCAGTTCTTATAAAGTCACCAGTTCCACTCCCATGATAACTTATTAATCCATTAATTTATGAATGATAAATCCAATGACTCTGCCCTCATGATCCAATTACTTCTTAAAGTAATTTCAATGCCTTTCAATATTGCTACATTGGGAATTCACTTTCCAACACATGAAATTTGGGAGACACAGTCAAACCATAGCACATCCTAAGGGCGTATAGTAAATGAAAAAGCATTTATTTAAGAAAACCTATTAAACTCGTAAGGAACAGTGAAATTTTGATTGAATAACAACCCCTTGTGTTCTTCCTCATCCTAGCCCAAAGTAAAGGACTTTACCACAGGCAGGTTCAACCAAAAATACAGGGCTCCTTCTTCCCCCTGTTTCTAATCAAGAGGTAAAATATCTTTGTGAGAGGGGCAGAATATCAGTATTTTTCACCCCATCCCCCAGAAACCTGTTGCACAGGCTAAGTCATGGCTTTGTGTAGTTGAGATTCTGGATCTTCTTTCTTCTATCCAGCCCCTACTCATAAGGTATAGGTTGCACCTTGGGTATGGTGCGGCTCCAACACTGGAGCATAGGACCTGGATCAGCCATAAGGCAGAGGTTTCATGCTGGGAGTAGAAAGTCAATAAGACCAAGGAATACTGTTTTCCACTGAATGCCAAGCTCCTGCAGCAGAGAAGCTTGACACTGTCTCAGCTCAAGAGATTTTGCACACGGTCAGAGTTAGTCTGTAAAACAGAGAACTCCTCTGCTTTACCTGATGTAACCAACTTTATTTAAGACAGTATGGGAAAATTAAACCCTAAGGATCCTATAAAAATCAATGGAAGTTTTGGTGGAAAGTAATTAAAATGATTCATAGACACATTAAACTATAGGCTAGCTAGTTTGCCAGAGAGAACCAGGTAAAAAGAAAATTATGAAGAGCCCTCCTGGGGTGAGAATGAATCCTTTATTTATTTATTTTTTTGAGACAGAGTCTCACTATGTCACTGTGTCACCCTTGGTAGAGTGCTCTGGCATCACACAGCTCACAGCTTAAGCAATTGGGCTTAAGTGATTCTCTTGCCTCAGCCTCCCAAGTACCTGAGACTACAGGCACCCACCACAATGCCTGGCTATTTTTGGTTGCAGTTGTCATTGTTGTTTAGCTGGCCTGGGTTACGTTCAAACACACCAGTCTGGGAGTATGTGGCTTGTGCCAAAACCATGGTGCTATGGGTGCTGAGTCAAGAATGAATCTTACACACTGAGCTTGAACTAATTATGTATAGGATTCCAGATTTAATTGGATTAGAATTTTGGAGTAATTTATGTCTTACTATGGCACTGATGAAATCACTATAAAAATAAGCCAGAAGTTAGTCTAGTTTAACAGCTGCATCCCTACAAACACCACTGTCATCCAAGGTAACTATGCCTATGTCCAGATCTGCACCATCTGAGGGAAAATATCAGAGACTTCATATGGAAGGGAAGTAGAAAAAAGCTAAAAAATCCCAGCCAGTCACTAAACAATAAACTAGCAAACATTAAGTCCCCGGTGGAGGGTAGTACACATAGCTATAAATAAATATTATCTAAAAAGGTTAGAATTCAACAGAAAATTATAAGGTGTGCAAAGAAATATAAAAGTTTGAAAAAATGGCAGGCTAGAGGGCAGCCAGCATATTTACCACTCCCATGGAAACTAGGGAAAGTTCCAGGCTCTTGCCTCCATAGAATCTTTCTTCATAGAAATAGCAGTATTAAAGTTCATGGGATACTCAGAGCAGAACAAAAAGGAAGACAAAACTTATAGGAAGCAGGTGACAGAGAGACACATAAACAAGCCTGGAGTTGTTATGGGTACCAGTGGAGCTCTAGAATGCCACACTCACTCTTTTGGTACTGAGTGAACTGAGCTTCAGATTGCTGCTGCGTCAGAGACCCATCTGAAATCTATGCAGAACTATAACACTAGTCAATAGGTGGAGTGGGGATCAGATAGCAGCTAAAGGCATCTTGAGGTTTTGGGTCAACCTTCTAGACCTCTATCAGTGATAGAGAGGAATTAGATCAACTTGTGTCCTGCATATACCAGTCTTAGTAACTTGAAATCAAGTGGTCACCCATAGAGCACAAGGGGAGCTGAATACTGAACAGACAAGGGTAGGGCACAGTAGACCCTGAGCTGAGAGGCAGTGGGTTGTGGCTTTGTTATAGAGCAGGTCCTATTAGGGGTGGGGCAAGCCCCATGACTTAAGGCCCCTGAGACTGACAACAACAAGCCAGATTTAGCACCCCAGTGGCCCTAAGACCTACTGAGTGGACTGGAGGAATGGCAGATCGCTGCTTAGTTTTAGGCAGGTCTAAGAAGGGGTATAGCGAGCTCCTTCATCCAGGGCCTCTGAAAGTGACATTAGTCTGCTGGATTTGGAACATGATGGGTCTTAAAACCCACTGAGTGAGCCAGTGAAACAATGAACTACCTCTTAGCTTCTGGCAGGTTGGGGAAGGGGCGTGGTGAACGCTAAGTCTCCAGGGCCTCTGAAATAGACATCAGCCTGCCAGATTCAGTATCTGAGTAGCCCTAAAACCCTAATGAGTGGGCCAGCAGAACAGAAATCTGCCGCTTTATCAGGTCCTGGAAAGAGTGGTGAGTTCCATGTCCCAGGGCCTTTGATTTTTTATTTATTTATTTTTTTGAGACAAAGTCTCATTTTATTGCCCTTGGTAGCATGCTGTGGCATCAGAGCTCATAGTAACCTCAAACTCTTGGGCTCAAATTATGCTCTTGCCTCAGTATCCTGTGTAGTTTGGACTAAAGACACCTGCCACAATGCTAGGTTATTTTTAGAGATGAGATCTCCCTCTTGCTCAGGCTGGTCTTGAACTCCTGAACTCGAGCAATCCATGCACCTTGGCTTTTGAAACTGATATCAGCATACCAAATTCAGTATCTCAGCAGCCCTAAAATCTTGCTGAGTGGGCCAGCAGAACAGCAAGCTGCCACTTCACTTTAGGAGGTCCCAGAAGACTAGAAACAGAAAAGTAAAATCTCCAGTAAGATCAATAAGAAATGAAAAGTGGAAGGTAACAACAGATACCACAGGGATGCAAAAGATCGTCACTGAACAGTATAAAAACTCTGCCCAGAAATTTGAAAATGTGGAGGCAATGGACCAATTCCTGGAATAAAACTACTTTCCTAGACTCAACCAGGAAGGCATAGAACCCTTGAATAGACAAAAGTCAAGCACTGATTATAACAGCAATAAAAATGCTTCCAACAAAAAATTCTGGACCAGTCGGTTTTACATC